CCCTGGAGAGAATGCCAGGAGCTTGTGTTCCAAGTGCAATGAGGAGCTTGCAGAAGACGCTCCAGCTCCCCCCAAATGATTTACAGTTTAAGAAGGTCACTTTGCCTGGTGAAGAATGGACTGGGAGAAGGGAAGCAGGAAAAGAATGTTGGGGGCCAAGGTAGCAAGCAAAAGAAGAGAGGGAGGCCAAGGTGTGGGAAGAAGTGTGCAGTACTGGCATTTGTGGAGCATGGGGAGCCACTCCAGGGGGTGGGAAGAGGAAGCAGGTTCTTGGTGGGGCTGAGAAGGAAGGAGACTGGGCGGGAGGGCAGGTTGTAGGGGAGGGCAAGGGTGCCATCTGGGCCCCATGACGTCTGAGAAGACAAGTTGTGATGCAAGTAAAGGTCCTGCCTGAAGGATTGGGATACAGGAGTGCACTGCTCAGAGCAGACAGAAGAGGAGCAGTGAAAGAAAGTGCGCTGAGGGCCAGAAGAATGAGTGCACGTGCACATATAATGCGGATCTCCTCTTCTGCTTTACTGGCTAGTGAAAGAGGTCAAAGGACACCGACCCAGGGGAGGGGTTGTATCCCTGGGTCAGGAAGATCCCCTAGAGAAGGGAATGGCAACCCACTCCAGTACTCTTGCCTGGAAAATCCTATGGACAGAGGAGCCAGAAGGGCTATAGTTCTGGGGTCGCAAAGAGTCACACCACTGAGGAACTGAGCACAGAGCATTAAACAGAGAATCTAGAAGTAGCTGCAACTTTATTTTAAAAAACTCATACAGAGACACTGGCATTTCACCTATGCCATGGGGTTGTGAGGATTACATGAATTCACATAAATAAGATGCTTTAAAAAGTTCACTGCATATTTTTTTTAAGTTTCAATTCCAGAAGAAAAAGACTAGCTAGTAAGGAATCTTGCATATCTGGGATCTTTGTCCATCTGGAAAAGAATTCAGTTAGATGCTCTATCTCATACTTAAGTGAAAATATATTTCATGTGGATTAAAGATGTACATGGAAGAAATCAAGCTAGAGAAGTATGAGAAAAACATTTGGATGAACAATCAGTTGTCTAGCTTCAGCATAAAGATAAAGGAGGCCCTTTAAAGCTATACAGAAAACCCAGACTCAATCATGAGGAGTCTGACCACATACAAAATCTTGTGGGGCAAAATGCTATAAATCTTCCAAGGATACAAGTTAAGTAAGGAGCTGGATCTTGCACGTGCAGATGGCGTCACCTGGAACTTGAGAAAGCTGCACCAGGGTATCAGAGGCCTGACAATAACCAAGAACAAGCTAAGAGGGGAGAAGTCCAGGAATGTACTCCACATAGCCAGCCAAAAAAGCTTTAAGGTTAAAAACAAAGCAAACCCAGTTACCACTAACCTTAAGAAGATAAACATTGTGAATGACGAAAAAGTTAACAGAGTGAATAAAGCTTTTGTAAATATACAAAAGGAACTGGCAAACGTCTCAAAAGGCTGTTCCCTTGAACCTCTGCAGAAACAACTGATATCTCAGCAGTGTCATGAAAACATACCAGTTAATGTTGATGAAGCTACAAGATTAATGGCTCACTTGTAATACACCAATGATTCATCAAATTCCCCAAAACGACCAATAAATTTAATCTTCTATAAAAGAAAAAAAAGTTAAGTAAGGAAATATTGCATCATAAATGACAAGCAGAGGATGAATTTCACCAAAATACAAAGATGCCCAGAAACTGATAAACAACCCAATGAAGATTTCTTTTCACAATAGAAAATTCAAACCATCAAGAAATAAATGAAAAGAGGCTTTATCTCAGTGGTATTTAAGTGAGCTAATGACCTTCGCCTTTTCACCTATCCAATCTGACCCAGTTTTCTCAGATATTGATGCTGGGAGTGTGAATTGCTACAACCTTTCTTGGATGATCTAGGAAATTAAAATATGGATATCATTCCACTCAGTAATTTATCTTTTAGGAATTCAGACAAAGGAAATAAAAAGCATTAGCATATACAAGATATTTGCTGCTGCACTATTAGAACTAGCAAAGCACTGGAAAAAACTGAATGCTCATCGATAGGAAAATGGTTAAATAAACTATGGTTCATTACATTTTGTCATATTGTCAGCTATTAAAAGCACATGTGAGTGTATATATATATATATATATACACTCTCCAGTATACTGGAGAGATGTGTGTGACTTGTTGTTAAGGAAAAGGGCAAGTAATGTGGTAAAGAACTAATATTCTACTTTTGTTTTTTGTTTTTTGTATATGTCTTGTTTTGTTGTTGTTGAGTATGTGGTAATGGTATAACCCACTCCAATATTCTTGCCTGGAGAATCCCATGGACAGAGGAGTCAGGTAGGCTACAGTCCACGGGGTTGCAAAACTTCACTTCACAGGCATTCCAGGTGGCGCTAGTGGTAAAGAACCCACCTGCCAATGCACGAGACATAAAAGAAGGAGTTTCGATCCCTGAGTTAGGAGGGCATGACAACCCACTCCAGTACTCTTGCCTGGAGAATCCCATGGAAGAGGAGGCTGGTGGGCTACAGTCCATAGGTCACAAAGAGTCAGACGTGACTGAAGTGACTTAGCATGCATGCCTGTATTCATATTTTGTGCTTATGTGTGTAATGGCATAGAAGGAGAAGAGACCCAACTGCCAATGTTGATCATCTCACAGAAATAGGGTGGAAAGGTGGGAAGAGCATATGTAAGGACTTTTCTTCTGAAAAATTAAAATCTGGTGTAAAATAGATACTTTCTCTTTACAAACTTTTGTGTCATGTGACTTCTTTCTGAAAACGTTTTTAAAAACGAAGGATAAATAAGAGTCTAGTATCCAGAATATACCTGGTCATGGCAGCCCACTGCAATATTCTTGCCTGTAGAATCCCATAGACAGAAGAGCCTGGTGGGCTACAGTTCATATGGTTGCAAAGAGTGGGCATGATTGAAGCATCTTAGCACACACGCATGCATCCAGAACACATTTTTTAAAACTGTAACAACTCAACAACAAAAGGCAAGCAATCCAATTAAAAACTGGACAAAGAACTGGAACAGACATTCCTTCAAAGATATACAAATTGCCAACAACACATGAAAAGATGTTTAACATCATTATGCAAATCAAACCCACAAAGAGATGTCACTTCACAGTACTAGGATGATTAGAATTAACAAAACAAAACCAGAAGATGAGTGTTGGTGAAGATGTGGAGTCCTTGTTAAAAATGGAATTACAGTACGACTCAATAATTACACTGCTAGGTATAAATTCAAAAGAATAGAAACTAACACACCTTCAAGTTCACAACAGCAGTATTCACAATAGCCAAAAAGCAGAAACAGCTCACATGTCCATCAATGGCTGAATAGATAAAATAGGTGACAACCCTAAAGGAAATCAATCCTGAACGTTCATTGGAAGGACTGATGCTGAAGTTGCAATATTTTGGCCACCTGATGTGAACAGCCAACTAATTGGAAAAGACCTTGATGCTGGGAAAGACTGAAGGTAGGAGGAGAAGGGGATGCGAGAGGATGAGATGGTTGGATGGTAACAAGGACTCAATGGACATGAACTTGGGCAAACTGGGAGATGGTGAAGGACAGGGAGCCCTGGTGTGCTGCAGTCCATGGGGTCGCAAAGAGTCGAACACAACTTGGTGACAACATATATACACTACGCAGCTATAAAAAGGAATGAAGTTCTGATATATAATAAAAAGTGTATGAATCTCAAAAACACTATACTAAATGGAAGAAGCCTCACCAGAAAGATCCCACGTATGATTCCATTTACTTGAGGTTGGTGGCTCAGTGGTAAAGAATCTGCCTGCTCATGAAGGAGACATGGGTTCCATCCCTGGAGCGGAAAAATCCCACATGCTTTGAAGCAACCAAGCCCCAGCATCACAATTACTGAGGTCACCTGCCTCACCTACGGAAGCGGGCAGAACCTAGAGCCCATACTTGGCAACAAGAGAAGGCACCGCGATGAGAAGCAAGCGCATGGGAACTAGAGAGTAGCACCTTCCACTTCCCCACTCCCTGCAACTAGAGAAAAGCGTATGAAGCAGTGAAGACCCAGCACAGCGAAAAATAAAACAAATTTTAAAAAGCGTTATCAGCGGTTGCCAGGGGCCGAGAGGGAGGGGACAATGGGGAGTAACTCCTAGTGGCCTGAGTTTTCCCCTACGCTGATACAAATGTTTCCAAACTAGTAACAATGGTATTTGTGGAACATTGCAATGGAGCTGGTCACCTTAAAATGGCTAACGAGTTAGGTGAATTTCACTTCAATTAAAAACAGAAAATAATAATAATAAAGATAAGCTCGTTAGTGCTCCTGCTAAGAGCAGGCTGGACTGGAGACCCGAAGCCTCGCTTCCCCCAGCGGCGCCCCTGTTGGCCGCCGCGGCCCAGGTCAGGTCCCGGGCTCCCAAGTCTAGAAGCGACGGTGCTGGAGGCGGGCGCACTCTCGGCTCCCGATGCTGCCAACCCAGCCCAGTCAAGCTGCTCCGCTCAGTCTCCCATGTGATGTGGCTCCCCAGACTGAAAAATCTGCCTGCAATTCAGGGGATCCAGGTTCGATCCCTGTGTCGGGAAGACCCCTTGGAGAAGGGAATGGCAATCCACTGTGTGGACAGAGGAGCCCGGTGGGCTACCGTCCGTAGTCTCGCAAAGACTGGACGCGACTGAGCGATGAATACTTCCCCTTGACTCCCAGCCCGCGGGGGCCAGGCGGGACCCAGGGGCGGGGCCAACGGCGGCGGAGGGACCGGAACCCTTCAGCCGAGGGTGCCTGGCTCCGGAGGACGGTCGGACTCGGAGGACGGTCGGACTCGGAGGACGGTCGGACTCGGAGGACGGTCGGACTCGGAGGACGGTCGGACTCGGAGGACGATCGGACCCGGATGTCAAAGTTCACCGCTTTAGGAAGCCGGCTTCCGGAGTCTCCTTTTTGCTACCGGGTCTCTGCGGCGTGGGCTACCTGCGGGGATGAGACGGAAGCACTACCTTGAGGCCGCGGCATGGAAACTACAAGATAGCTGCCCGGGCCAAGCCCGCTACCTCCTGTAAGAGAGAAGGGAAGGGGAGGGGGAGGCGAGCGGCAGGCGGGTGTGTCCCGTCCCTTACGAATGTCTGTCTCTTTTGCAGCTGGGCCTACAGCTCGTCACACGGTAAGGAGGACGCCCGTTGGTTGTGGGTCGGGCTCTAGTGGCCCCGCTCCCTCCCTTCCGCACAAGGAACCAGATGATCTAGAGAAATCTGATCGACCCACAGCCATTATAAACCCCCTCCAGAGGCTTCTCAGTTCCTTAAAAAAAAAAAAAAAAAGAATGCCTTACCTTGCCTGACCTATTGGCATTTGATACAATTGATCAGTCTACTCGAAATAGTTTCTTCACTTGGCTTCCAGATCATCACCGAGTTCAACTCCTGCCTCTTTAGCCAGTACTTCTTGATCTGCTTTATTGGCGCCTCCTAACTTCCCCACCCCCCAAATGATTGAGTGTCCCAAGACTCAGCCCTATGAACGTCTTTTCTACCTACACCCAATTCCTTGATTATGCGGTCTTACGGGTTTTAAATTCTTCATACTGAGGACTCCCAAACTTATTTTCCAGTTCAGACTACTCTCCTGAATCCTAGACTCATCCAGATGACTTAACTCGAGCTTTATCCCCCAACACGACAATCCCCCTTCCCCAGTTCTTCCCATTTTAGTAACCAGTAACCCCATCCTTAAGATTCATTCAGCCCCAAAACCTAGGAGCCACTCTTGTCTCACTAGCAGCCTTCCTCCCCAGGACAGTATGCCAGTAAATCCTGTTGGCTTTAGAATGTATCCAACATCTAGCCACCTCTTTCCACATCCCTCTTACCATCCTGTCCAAGCCATCAGTTTCTCTCCTGGATTATTGCCAACGGCTCCCATGCATCTCTACAGTCCAGGCTCAATCCAGCAGTCAGTGTGAGCCTAACAGAAACTAAGTTAGATTCATGTCAGTTCTCTGCTACAAACTCTGAAATGACTGTCTACCTCAATAAAAGTGAAGATCTTTAAGAGTCCACAGATAGACCTATGTCATAGGTCTGCATTACCTCTTTGAGCTGCTATCCCTTTTTTTTTCACTGAACTTCAACCACTGCCAGGCCTCCTGTTGTGTCATGGCCTTTGCAACTGCCCTTCCAGTACCTGGAAGTCTTACCTCACATACCTGCTTGGATTCCTTCCTCATTTCCTTCTGAAAATGTCACCCCACGAAGCCTTCCCTGGCTTCCCTATTTAAGATAATAGCAGCTCCATCAGCAATCTACATTCTTTCCAGTCTTTTTTTTTCTCCCCAGCACTTAACATTTGGCATTGTGTTCATTGTCTATCTCCATGAATTGTGCTCTGTTCACCTTGGTATCTCCCACAACCAGCGCTTGGCCTGTAACAGTTTCTCAGTGTGAATGAATTCTACATTTTTCAGAGCTAAGTTACAAGCATGGTCCTTAGCTTTTCAATAGTGCTGTTCCTAGCACTTAACACAGGACTTAGCCTTAAGTATTTATACAGAATGGTGTGCCCACCTTCCTATTCAGCAACATCACCTTCACACTTCACCTTTCCCTAAATAACCATGCTTGCTTTTTCACTGTACTTGTACCCAAAAGCTCTTTACCAATAATAGATGGCTTTTTCAAATATAGGTAAGTTTATTGTCATCTACAATGACCTTTGTCAAGCCTCTTTGATATGTTTCTAGCTAGTCTATATAGAGTTTAATAATTTTCAGGGTATTTTAATCATATTCTGTAACAGTTCTTACCAGTCTTACCTTCACTTCCCTAGGGCTCCCCAAGAACATGAATTCTATAAAGATAGCAAGTCCTTTACTTCCATATTTTTGTCTCCAGCCTAGCATGGCAGATGGTCAGTGAATGCTTTCTTGATTGCATAAAGGGCCTCGGGCAAGTCTGTTGTCCTGTTACCTTGTACTGCAGACAATGCCCAGCTCACAACCACAAAACTGTGCTGATTGTTTAAAAAAGAAAAGTCACAATGTTGTTATTTCATGATAAATGTGTCTGTAAAATTTGTGAGACTTACAGCCTTTTTTTACTTGGTAGCAGTAATGAACAGCATAGCAAAGAGTGGCTCAGTTCAGTTGCTCAGTTGTGTCTGACTCTTTGCAACCCCATGGACTGCAGCATGCCAGGCTTCCCTGGTCATCACCAACTCCTGGAACTAAATCAAACTGATGTCCATCGAGTCAGTGATGCCATCCAGTCATCTCATCTTCTGTTGTCCCCTTCTTCTCCTGCCTTCAGTCTTTCCCAGCATCATGGTCTTTTCCAATGAGTCAGTTCTTCGCATCAGGTGGCCAAAGTATTGGAGATTCAGCTTCAGTCTTTCCAGTGAATATTCATGATTGATTTCCTTTTCGATTGACTGGTTTAATCTCCTTGCAGTCCAAGGGACTCTCAAGAGTCTTCCCCAACACTGCAGTTCAAAAGTGTCAATTCTTCGGCGCTCAGCTTTCTTTATAGTCCGACTCTCACATCCATACATGACTACTGGAAAACCAGAGCTTTGACTAGACGGACCTTTGTCGGCAAAGTAATGTCTGCTTTTTAATATGCTGTCTAGGTTGGTCAGATTTTCTTCCAAGGAGCAAGCATCTTTTAATTTCATGGCTGCAGTCACCATCTGCAGTGATTTTGGAGCCTCAAAAAATAAAGTCTGTCACTGTTTTCCCATCTATTTACCATGAAGTGTGATGGGACCGGATGCCATGATCTTAGTTTTCTGAATGTTGAGCTTTAAGCCACGTTTTTCACTCTCTTCTTTCAAGAGACTCTTTAGTGCTTGTTTGCTTTCTGCCATAAAGGTGGTGTCATCTGCATAACTGAGGTTATTGATATTTCTCCTGGCAATCTTAATTCCAGCTTGTGCTTTATCCAGCCTGGCATTTCGCATGATGTGAAAAAAGGGTGGGGAGTTAACCTATCTGTTGCTAAAAAGAGTGACTCGATAGAACTATAGTGTTTTGTAAAATAAATTATTGCCAATTTATCTTTGTAGATTCTCATTTTGAGTTTTGCTTAAGGAAAATTTGTATTTGCTCATATTAAATAATATACTCTTTTGCATCTATAATATTGATAAGTTTGTGGTAACAGAATACTCTGATTTGCTGACTTATGGGTTTCACTTGTGTAATTTTAGATGATAAAAGCACTTTTGAAGGAACATGTCCATACTGTTTCCAGTTGCTTGTTCAGGATAAATCTCGAGTGCGCCTCAAACCCAAGCCCAAACTGACACCCAAAATACAGAAACTTCTTAATCGAGAAGCAAGAAATTATACACTCAGTTTTAAAGAAGCAAAAATTCTGAAAAAGTACAAAGACTCCAAAAGTGTGCTGGTAAGATTTCAATTCCATTCTGTATAAGTAAACTAGACTTTTCTTTCACTTACGATAAGGTTAAGAATTAGCCTGATACAACTCAGAGGTTTGTAGTAGTATATTTAGATTGTCAAAATATATACATAAGATTTTTTTCTAGTGATTACTGTTTCATCAAGATACAGCTTAGTTTTGTTTCTCAGTGTTACCTAAAGCCAAAAATCATGAACTCTCAATGCCCAGATTTTATTGTTGAGCACAATTATTTTCACAAATTTGAGGATTTCTTGAGCTCACCAGTGTGACATCATCTGAACTGCAGTTACCACTAAATATTTTCAGCTAATGGTCCTTTTCTTCAGACACAGTAAAATGTATTAGGTATACACAAGGAAAGAGCATTAAGTACCAGTGTCATTTCTTCAGTCACCCCCCTCTGTGTCAGAGTATGTATTTAAGTTTATGTCCAACAAAGATAAGTGTGTCTTATGTTCATTCATCAAACGTTTATTGAAATTTTACCTTGTGCCAAACAGTGCTATATATTGGAAATGTAAAGTGGAATAAAACAACCAAATTAAATTACTTATGGTTTACTATGTAGAGACCAGTACTAGATAGACTTTATCTGCATGTTCTGTGTTAACATTTATCAACTATTAAAGTGCCTGGTTATTACCTAGGCACTGTGCTGGGCACGGTGGACACTATGACAGCTTAGGTCTGGCTCAAGGCTAGAGTCAGTAACAACTTGGAACTGCCATATTTAGGAGTCTACTGTTATTGGACAGGTAAGTGCATTTTCATAAAGCAACTTAAACCTCTGTGAATGCATTTTTACCTGCTCATGAACATCAGAGTACTTCTCATAAACTAGTTTGTATTAATTTTGTTGAGGCCTGGGCCGAATCTGGTGCCTTGTGAGTCAGATGTGTAGAAGAGCATTTAGCTGCAAAATGGACCATGTCTTGAACAATGAATCCTGAAAAGAAAGTCAACCTCTATTCCTAATGAAGTGAAGTAGGGTGAGAATTCATATGCCTGGTTTTATAAATTACTTTAGACTTGTATTTATATATAGATTCACTAAGGGTCTGAAGGAATCAGTTATTTTCAGTGATCTTTTGCCATATTTTATTGGGAAAAGGCTTGGAATTTTTCTGCAAAAAAAAAAAAAAAAAGTTATAAAATGTTGTAAAGATATAAATGCCCAGATATTAAAGGGTGTCTTACATATAAGAATTTAATGAGTATACAGTTTATTGGATTAAATTATAAGGAGAAATAAGACTCACTATTTCTTCTTTTTGTGGCAGTTGATTACTTGTAAAACTTGCAACAGAACAGTTAAACATTATGGAAAAAGCAGAAGCTTTCTGTCAGCACTGAAGAGCAATCCTACCACTCCTACGAGTAAACTCAGCCTGAAGACCCCAGAGAGAAAGACTCCAAGTTCTGCAAACCTAAATCACATGTCTGGTTCCAAAGGCAAGAGCCCAGCATTGATTTTCAGGTATCTTAATCCATTACGCTATGTAAATGGCTATTGTTAACCCCCGAGTTTTCATTTCTCTGTTTAATAAACACTCCCTGAAACTGCCATAGAGTTGAGGAAGTCATCACTGCACTGACCTCCAGGTGTGTTCCTCTACATCCAGCCTCTCCCTGGGCTCGTTCCCAACTGCCTCTTAAATATGTCCCCTTCCCACCCCTACATGTCCCCACAGGTAACCACTCAAACCTGCCCATCCTGTTTCCTTAATCTATAAATGAACATGCCCTTCTAGACATTCTGACCTGAAATGGTCAGTGTAGTTGACAGTCCTGCTCCCTCTGTCCTGGCCCAGTTAGTCACCAGTTTCTATCCAACCCGCCTCCAAGGTGTTCGCAGCTGTCCTCTCCTTTTTCTCCATGCTGCTGCTGTCCAGATCATTATTCATCCTTTGCCAGGATTACTACAATAATTCGTGAGTCTTCCTGCTTCTAGTTTCAAACCCTTCTAGTCCAATATTTATTTAAAAACACAGTTCTGATTAGAAAAACACAGTTCTAATTAGAAGCCTTTGGTACCTCACTCTGTGCATATGAAAGAAATACATTGGCATGGGTTTCCAGCCCCCACTACCTGGCACCATCTGTCTGCCTATCACTTGCCTTAATTCATCCTTTGTGCCAGCAAAACAACCAGTCAGGGTTGACTTTCCTGCTCTAAACCTTTATTCTTTGTGGTTTCCCCTATCAGAAACTCAACAGAATAGGGATTTGTGAAATGATGTGAAGTTAACTATGTGACTGGGCACATGTTTTATTTTCAGTAATCCTCAATACTTTATTCATTATGCTGACCAATAAATTTAACTCCAAAGAAACTGAAAGGAATGTTTAAACATTTTTGTTACAGAAGAGTTTGGTAGCTTCTTGAAATTAAATAACAAATTCAGCAAGGATTGGATTATTTCTGCTTATTAAAATTGAGGTTTTTATATGAGGATTTGACATTTAAAATTTCAAGTCCAGTTTTCTCTATATTCCTGATTATTTTGGTGTTTGATATGATAGGAATTCATCGTGAAAGTTTCTACTTATAGGATACATGCAGATAAAAGAAAATTTGGAATATTTAAAATAATTCACTTGCATTTAAACAAGACTGCTTGTTCAGTATACGCAGGAAAGATAAAGTTATATCATGTTTGGGGTATTGAACAAATATTGTTTGGGGTTTGAACACAGTTGGAAAGAATGACGTGGAAGGAGGCATAAATACACACATACCAGATGGGGAATCATTTATTCAGTGGATATTTATAGAGAGCACCCTCTGTGCTTGGTTCTGTTAAAAAGCACTGGAATATATAGTTAGCCATACAAAACATCTGCCCTCTAGAGCTCACCTTGTGTAAGGGTGAAAATACAACAGAATGGTAACTGTATGCATAGGTTGAGATTCTTCACTTTTGAGAAAGGAAATGGTCTTGAGCTCTGAACTAAAAAAATGTTTTTGCAGTCCTTGCTTAGAATTGTCATGCATTTTGATGTCAGTCTTACAAGGAACTCAGTCCTAATGAGACTTTGCCTTTAACTTTGTCTTTCAGGTGTGAAAGAAGCTTCTAGACGTACCCATTATACCTTGTAAATGTTGCCATTAGCCTGTAGTGAGGAGATTTTTTTTTTTTAACAAAGTGGGAATGACTTTGGGTACAGCTACTGCTCATGTGTGTCCATAATTATTACAGAAGAGTAGAAAATTATTATAGTAGTAGGTATCTAGGCTTAGTAGGAAGAACTGTTGTCTGTATATCTAAGTGTGGCTTTATGTTTCTTTTCAGAACACCTGCATCTGGACAGTCAACACCCATTTGTTCCTCAAAGAATGTGAGCAAAACAAAGAAACACTTCTCTCAACTAAAAATGTTGCTTAGTCAAAGTGAATCCAAAAAAAATCCAAAGATGGACTTTAGAAATTTCTTATCTTCTTTGTAAAGGATGGACTATGAAAATAAATGTTTAATGCAATTTCTGAAACTAAAGTTAGACTCTTTTTTAAAAACTTATTTATTCTTAAAATAAATGGAAACTCAAGTCCAAGAGCAAACTTTTCTTGGCATTCTTCAGTGTTTATGGAGAAAATACCTAATTGGAATGAAAAACTGAACCCTGCCTGCTTCACAGGGTGATTGCCAGGATCAAAAATATATGAAAGGTAAGTAGTAAACATAAATATGGACATTGAGTGGTTATATTATGATTTTCTCCTCCCTTAAGTTTTCATTATTTGTCATTTTCTTTCATAAGGAAATTGAGACCTTTATAAGAGGTCTACTTACTCCTTTCTAGGTGTCTGTGGCCTTACTGTTAATTCTAAAAAAGTGTAAATTATAATATTTCCCTGTAAATGGCATTTCATTTGCTCTGGTGAATACCTACTTTTAGGTCTAAAATTTACATTGGAACATAACACAGTAACAGTTTAGCTATCTTAAGTATTTCCTGGAACATAGATATGCTTTTTTTAAATGATAGGCTAGGATTATATTCAACCTGGGTTTAAAAGCTCTTTAAATAAGTAACTTACTTTATAATCTGTTTCCAAGCCTCTTTGCTACTTAAAAGTTTAAAACTTAAATTTCTTAAGAACATACAGTGAAGAAAGGACAGTCTCTTCAGTAAATGGTACTAGGAAAACTGAAGAGCCACATGGAAAAAAATGAAACTACCACTATCTCACACCATACATAAAAAGTAAAATTAACTCATAGTGAATTAAAGACTTGAATGTTAAGACCTGAAACTATAAAACTCCCAGAAGAAATCATAGGCAGTATGCTCCTAACATCATCATTGCATTATCTTTCTAGATATGTCTCCTCAGGCAAGGGAAACCAAACCAAAAATAAATGGGATTACATCAAACTAAAAAGCCTCTACAGCAAAGGAAACCAATAAACTGAAAACCTACCAAATGGGAGAAGATATCTGTAAATAATACAGCTGATAAAGTTGATAAACTCATATAACTCAACAATACAAATAACCTGTTAAAAAATGGGCAGAGAAGCTGATAGACATGTTTCCAAAGTAGATATACAAATAACCAACAGACACATGAAAAGATGTTCAACGTCACTAATTAGGGAAATGTAAATCAAAATCACAATGAAATATCACTTCACACCTGTCAGAACAGCCAGGATCAAAAAAGCCAACAAAGTATTGGCAAGGATGTGGAGAAAAGGAAACCCTTGTACATACACTGTTAGTAGAAATATTAATTGGTGTAGACGTTGGAAGACAGATTTCTTCAAAAATTAAGAATAGAGCTATCATAAGATCCAGTTATCCCACTCCTTGCTATTTATCCAGAGAATACAAAGACACAAATTTGAAAAGTTATCTGTACCCCCATGTTCATCGTGGCATTATTTATAATAGCCAAGATATGGAAACAGCCTAAGTGAAGATTTAAAAAGATGTTACATATATACAGTGGAATACTACTCCACTAAAAAAAAAAGATAAAATCTTGCCATTTGCAATAATATGGATGGGTATGGAAGGTATTATGCTAAGTGAAATAAGTCCAACGGAGAAAGACAAATACCGTATGACTTCATTCAAGTGGAATATGAGAAACTAATAAAAACAAATGAACAAACCAAACTGTGACAAACATATAGAAACAGAATACGGTACACCTGAAACTTCATAATGTTATAAATCATTGTTTCCTCAAATAAATAGAGAAAGGAAACAAGTAAAAATACTTTTCCTCCATTAGAGCTTGGCAAACTGAAAAGTCAAGGTATCAAAAAGTTGGCTTTGTAGTTACATGAAGTGAAATTACATGAACTAGTGCCAGCATCAAGGAGGGGTGGCAACGCTCGTCGTTGTGGACTTGAACCACAGGCTGCAGAAGCGGGGCCTTCCCTTTGTGTCCACAGCATCCAGTGCAGTATTTTGGTCATGAGAGAGAGTTTACCTTTCTGGCTAACTTCTCACTGGAACAGCTGCTTCTCTTCACCCCTTCTTGCTTTCCTGTTCCCTTACCCTTCTCCCTGGTCACACACTCACAGTGAGTGTAGTTCTCAGAACATACTTTCTTGCCAGCCTTGGACTCTGCACAGTTTGAGTCTGCCCTCCTCCAGTCCAACCCCACCCCACTGCATTATGAGGGGCCCCTCTGTGATCACAGAGCTGGTGACCCTGTAGTTGCTGTTTCTCATTGTGTCCCTGACTGCCTATAAACTTTTTGCAGACCTTGAGGATCTCACTCCTTCAGCACATAGCACAAGCTCTGCAAATATTCCTAAGTTACTACACTTAAATTCCTTCACCTACATTTTCCACAGTAGGTCATTTACAGTCACATGACTGAAAAGTAGGTAAGAAATAGTAAAAATAGGAATTCTTATGTGGGGAGTGGTTCACATTAGGTTAGTTGCAAATCAAGACCATGGATTCTTTGTTTGGTAGAAGAGTCTGGGCATCTTTATAGGGTGGACAGAAATTGGTAGAAGAAAACAGACCTCTAAATCTTCATAAGCAGTGGTTTCTTAAGTGACACTAAAAACACAGGCAAATATATATACAGATAAACTGGACTTGATCACAAGTAAAAACTTGAGTGCATCAAATGGGAACACCATCAAGAAAGTGAAAAGACAACTTCCTGAGTGATACAGTGGGTAAGAATCTGCCTGCCAATGCAGGGGACAGGGGTTCAATCCCTGGTCTGGGAAGATTCCACATGCCACACAGCAACTAAGCCTGCAAAGCACAACTTCTGAGCCCAAGTGTTCCAATTACAGAAGCCCACTTGGCTAGAGCCTGCAACTCTAGAGCCTGTGCTCTGCAACAAAGAGTAGCCCATGCTCACCACAGCAAGAGAAAAGCCACATGCAGCAGCCAAGGCCCAACACAGCCAAAAATAATTTTTTTAAAAAAGTGAAGAGAGAACCCACTGAATCAAGAAAATATTAGTAAGTCGCATTTATCTGTTAAGAGGCCTGTATCCAGAATTACAGAGAACTCTTGAAACTAACAACAGCAACAAAAACGACAAAGGATCTAGCACACAATTCAACAAAAAAAATAAATGGCTCCAATGAGCACATGAAAAGATCTTCAACATCTTACATCTAACATTAGTCATTATGGAAATGCAAATCAAAACAATGAGATGCCATTTCATACCCACTGGGATAGCTAAAATCACAAAAACAGTACAAGTGTTGGTGAGAATGTGAAATGGGAACTCTCACGCATTGCCCCCAGGACTGTAAAATTGTGTAACCACTTCAGAAGAGTTTGGTGGTTCCTCAAAGTTTAAAGAGTTATTGTATGACCCAGAATCCTACTGCTAGGTATATATACCCAAGAGGACTGAAAACATGTTTATACAAAATCTTGTATATGAATATTCATAGCAGCATTATTTATAATAGCCCCAAAGTGAAAACTCAAATGTCTATCATGTGTTCAATAATGAATTACTAATGCATACTATAATGTGGATGAAACTTGAAACTTGTTAACTGAAAGAAGCCGGATACAAAAGGCCACATATTGTATCATTTGATTCACATGGAATGCTTAGAATAGGAAAATATACCGAGGAATAGATTAATGGTTGCTGAGGGGGAGGGCGGGGGAATGGGGAATGGACTGATAAATGAGAACAGGATCATTTTTCACAGTGATGCAAATATTCTGGAAAGAAAGTGAAAGTTGCACCTGGGGAGAGGGGAGGAGAGGGTGAGATATATGGAAAGAGTAACATGGAAACTTACATTACCCTATGTAAAAGAGTCAACAGGAATTTGCTGTGTGGCTCAGGAAACAAAACAGGAGCTCTGTATCAATCCAGAGGGGTGGGGTGGGGAGGGAGATGAGAGGGAGGTTCAAAAGGGAGGAGATATATGTATACCTATGGCTGATTCACGCTGAGGTTTGACAGAGAACAACAAAATTCTGTAAAGCAATTATCCTTCAATTAAAAAAAATTTTTTTTTAATTTTTAAAAAGAAAGTGAAAAAAGTCATGTCCAACCCTGCAACCCCATGGACTAAACAGTCTATGGAATTCTCCAGGCCAGAGTACTGGAGTGGGTATTCCCTTCTCCAGGGGATCTTTCCAACCCAGGGATCGAACCCAGCTCTCCCACATTGCAGGCGGTTTCTTTACCAGCTGAGCCACCAGGGAAGCTCAGGAATAGTGGATGGAATGGGTGGCCTATCCCTTCTTCAGGAGATCTTCCCGACTCGGGGAATCTAACCAGGGTCTCCTGCATTGCAGGCAGATTCTTTACCAATGGATCTATCAGGGAAGCCCCCTAAATATTCTGGAGTTAGTAGTAATTATTGGGTAACTTTAAAAACCACCAAATATACTAAAACCCACTGAATTTTACACTTTATTTTTTTTTATTTTTATTAGTTGGAGGCTAATTACAATATTGTAGTGGTTTTTGCCATACATTGACATGAATCAGCCATGGATTTACATGTGTTCCCCATCCCGATCCCCCCTCCCGAATTCTACACTTTAAAAGAGTGATTATAATGTGTAATTATCTCATCAAAGCTGTTACTTAAAAAATGAAAATAAACATTACCTAAAAATATTACAGTGTATGTTGGCAGGAATGTAAATTGGTGCAGCTAGTATAGAAAAGGATATGTAGGTTCCTAAAAAAACTAGAAACAGAACTACTATATAATCCAGGAATGCCACTCCTGGGTATCTATCTGGAAAAACTGAAAACACTAATTCAAAAAGATGCATGCTCCCCAGTGTTCACTACAGCACTATTTACAATAGCCAAGACATGAAAGCAACCCAAATGCCCCTTAAGAGATGACTGGATTAATAAGATACATACATATACATATGTGTATATACATACCTACATACATATATTAATACATACATATACAGATACATATGATGGAATATTAGTTCTAAAAAAGAACGAAAAGATTGCT